TGTGACGAAACACGAAAATCGCTCGCACGTAGTGACAGTTTCCACCCGTTCCCCCGATACAGAGAGCGTGTACACCGAGAAATTCCCCTCTCCGAAAAAAAATACAGACTTTGATTACAACAAATGGAAAAATATTCGTCGATATGACACGCGTGGAGATATCGACCATCGGAAAAATTCTTGTTGGCTGTTTCGGGAATCGTGTAAAGAGCTCGATCATGAATTCTTTATCCGTTTCTAGTTGTCAAAAACTATTATTTTTGTTATTTTTTTGTCGCTGATATCGGCGCCAATTTGTAATGGATCGGACTGAATTCGTCGATACATGCAGCAAAAAAATGTATTTATAGCTCTTATCGATAATATGCACATTGTGACTGCGTCAACGAAGTACTAGAGAATGAAACGACACGACAGTAAGACGGAGTTTTGTGCGGCCTCACCGAGCTCTCGTCGGCTTGGCGCTCACCTTCTACATTTTCTTTCCTACGCGCCCGCATAATATAATAATAAACGCTGCAGCATCGTGTAAGGGCGTTACACGCAACATACATATAGGTATTCGCTGCGATTTCCGGAGTGTCAGGCGAGTTTCTCGAAGCACAAGCCCCCGCACGCGCAGCTCGAAAGCTGCTGGTTGACCGATTGAAAGTTAACGACGTCTCGCGCGCGCGCTCACAAACGTATTAAACGCGCGTGACGTTATTATAGCTGCTGACTCTATACTACTATATGCTATATGGCCTGCAGGCAGGGCTCTCTACTCTGCACGCAGCCAAATGCAGCTTGCATGAAAGTTTACACACGCGCAGCACACACACACACATGCGCGTTTAAAGAGCTTGGGTTGCGCGAGCGACTCGCCAGCACTGTCGACCCGACGCGCGCGGCATGACACATACGCGCGCCCAGTCTTCGATGTGTATAGGTCTCTCTGCTGCTGCACGCGCCCCGCGTTCGAAAGCTCGCCTGGGTGATTTACAAGCTTGATGAAAGGTTATAGGGGAGCGTTGCTGCTGCTGCTGGCTGCCACTGCCACTGCCACGCAGTCTGCTATACATACATACGTGCAGTACACCCTCTCTCTCTCTCTCTCTCTCTCTCTCTCTTACTCCAGGCGTGCTGCGCGTGCTATTTCGTGCGCGCTTGATTGAATTTTCACCTGCGAACGAGCGACCCACCTCCTCTTATCCGCGTATGTATGTGTGTGTGTGTGCGTACCTTGGCCAACCCACCCTCCCTCTCTCTCACTACCTAATTCTGATTTTCGATATACGCGCGACGAGAGGAGTATAATAATGTGATGGCCTTTATATATCGCGCGCGCAGCTCGAGAGCCATTGAGAGAGATCTTTTTGATAACGACGCAGAAAAAAAAATATCCAGCTCGTTCGACGAGTCATCAATTATGAAATACACGATGAATATTAAAATGCCGAAACTGGCGATTTTTACAATAAAACAAAAAAAAACTACGCAGCACAACACACACACACACACACACACACACACGTACGTACTCGCGGGCTCGCACACAGAGAGAGCAGCGAGGTGATGTTGGAATAGTTAAGTACCGGAGTCAGAGCAAACAAGAAGAGATAAAAAGTCTTCTAAGGTCAACACTAGGTAGATGAAAAAAAGAGAAGGAATCCTGCTGCATGTAGAACAAAAAAAAAAGAGAAAAAGAAAAAACAATGATGTCACTTGAAGAAGAGAATAATGCGAAGAAAGGCGCGCCCGCACACACACACACACACACACACACACACACACACATAGCAGAAAGTCGAAATTCCAAAAAAAATCTAACGTAAAAAACAGAAAAAAAACGAATAGTCGTGAAAAATCTTTGAGAAACACGTGAAAAAAAACGACGACGACGACGAGGTGGAGGAGGAAGAGGAGGAGCAGAAAACGCGAGTGGCGCAAAACAATTCGCCAACGACTATATGCACGCGAAAACAAAACAAAAGGCGCTGCTCAAAATAGTATACCGGAATAGTGGAAAGAGACGCGCTGCTCTCAATGGATCACGTGACCGTGTAAATATTACAAATAATTGTAGTCGCGTATATATATTGTAAAAGCTACAGCAGCGGCAGCAACAACAAAAAAATCAAATGAAAACAATGACAAAAGTTATTCAATTATTTCCAAAAGTAAAATTGCCAAAGACTCGCCCGTAATTAAAAAACTTGAAACTTTCTTATATACGTGTAGTAGTGAGTAGCTTCGGCCTATGACGCAAGTTTTTTGTTCCTTCGAATTATACTTCATTGCCAAGCTAATCGGTATAGATCAACAGATGATTCCTTCGCCCGCTACTCTATATATAGCAGACGTCATAAATTTCAAGTATTTTTAATCGAAATTCTTCAGCTCAACCTACTTCGGAAGAATTTTTCTTTTTCATGTTAAAAAAAAAGTAAAGTAAAGTAAAATAAAGTAAAAACTCCCCCATCGCAACTCTTATATTTGTTATTTCGAGCGCCAGCCTAGTGTACTCTTTTAAATGAAGTCAGCATTAGCGCTTAATAAAAATTTACATCGTTATACACCACTAGCACTACCACCAGCTACACACCACCACCACCACGACTACTACCACCAACGCACCGCGTGCTTTACGGTCTATTAGATAATCACGGCGAAAAAACGAATTATTATATTTTCATAATTAAAATTCACGGGTTTTTCAAGAGGCGAAAAAAAATATTACGCGCGCGCGTTATAAGGTACCTATACGCACATACATCGTAAGAGCTCTTGGAAAGAAGGCAAAAAATAAAAAATAAAAAAATTTAAAACTATACTAATTGAGGAACGTTGAATTTCACCTAAATTAAAATATCAACTCGAGCTTTGGGCGTGTAGCTGTTGCAGCAGCAGCGAGTAAAACTGAGAGCGAGAGATGACGCGCGAAACCTTACATAGGCGAGCAAAAGTTTTTCCCGCAGTGAAATACGTATAAACAAAGCAAAGCGCGTGACAGCGAAGAGCTCCAGCGCCGCCGCTCCTATAAGGTGACGTTAACGATGCGAGCTGCGTGGCACGTGTTATGGACTAATACTATTTACCCGAAGAACAAGTTTTCCGATGCGCGCCACGGCCTAATGTATCATGCTGCGGCGCGGAGCTAGGTGAAAAATGAAGAAAAAAAAAGAAGAGAAGGAAACTTTGATCAAGCGATTGACGTTTTAAGTGCCGAAAGTTTCTCGGAATATAAGGCGGGTGCACCGCCCGCGTACTGCATTCATAATAATAAGAGAGAAAGAGAGATGCATATCGCGAGCTCGTGAAGACGAATTAATATACGTTTCCTTGGCTGTGTGGAATGAGAAAAAAAAAGAAGATGAATATACTCTGCGTAGCCGTATACCGAAAATAAGGCCTCTCTGGAGCGTTATATATCTTTCCGTTTGAGAAAAGGGTTTTAGCAAAAGAAAAACAGAAACACAGTGAGCGAGAGAGAGACGAGACGAGAGAGGGAAAGAGAAAAAGAAAAATCTCATATATCCGGTCAAACGTGTGATGATGAGCTTTTTTTTGCCTTTTTTCTGTATACGAGTTCTAGTTAGTAACATAAGCATGATATCGTCGAGTTAGTAGTGATTTTCGATCATCGTGCGACTTTCGGACACAGCGTGTATGCATGAATAATAAATCGAATTAACAATTGAGCGGTCGAGACAGTTGATATAATTTAATCAACTGCCCTCATAATAAACGATACACGTATAGAAAAAGGAGTGCTAAGTACTTACGGAAATAAGTCAGAGCCATATGAATATGAAAATTTGTTAAGAAGAAGGGCAAGAGAATATAAGAAGCGTATAACGTATAGGCACGTCGTGTGTCAGAGACTCAAGTAGTACAGACAGACACAATGTCAGGCACACGAGCGATCCGTCAGTTCAGCAGCAGCAAGCTCGACCCGATAGAGCTGACGAGCTGATGCAGGGCGTTTGCCTTTAAGCAGCAGCAGCAGCAGCAGCAGCGATCACCACGCCGTGCATTAAAAGCGCGCATACTTATAACGGGGACATGTCGCACGTATAAAAGATCGCAGTATGTAAGCCGTGTACTCTATATTGCGCAATTATCAACTACTACCGTTGCACATCTGCTCTCTGCTCCCGCTTACTTCTGCTGCGAAGCCGAAGCGGCACATTTATATATTTTATTATTATATATATATATCGAGAGGGTGTGTACGTGAACGTGCGCATCGATATACGGTGTACGCGTGTAGTAATCACAGCGCGAGATCTTCTCTATTATGTAAACGTAAGCGTGTGCATAAACGTCGGGAAAGTTTTCTGCTGCTGCTACGGAGCCGTCGTCGTGGCAGGCCTCTTTGCTTCGCTCGCTCGCTCACAAAGTTGATAAACAAACGGCCCCGCCCCCCTGCGAGTATATAGCGTATATAGAGAGAGCGCGAGATGCGGAGAGTAGTAGCGAGAGAGATGATAGTTGAAGCTGCTGTTGCAAACGGTTTATACGCTTTATACTCAGACACACACACACACACACACACACACACACACACACGTGTAAACACTTTATATATATACAGTAAACTAGGGGGTGTACGTTCTGTATGTGTATGTGTGCGTGTGTGCTAGAAGAGCCCAGCAGCACACCATCGCCTGTGTGTACATACATATACCCCCGTCACCGACACTGTCTAATCGCGTATATTACGCTATATAGCGCTAGCACGAGAGCAGCAGCAGCAGCAGCGAGCGAGGGAGAGAAAGAGAGCACACAGCTGCACAGCTGCATCACAGAGAGAAAGAGTGAGCGAGAGAGAACAGAGCACGAAGCACGGAGCACGCTCTGCTCTGCTCTCCTGCGCGCGATCTCGGATCAAGGATGTAGGTGTGTAGCGTGTAGGTGTGTATACGAGCACATACACATACATAGATATTTGTACGTGTGTGTGTGTGGGTGCGTTTTATACGCCTGTATTATATAGGCTGTGCAGCTTTTCAACTCACCTCTATCTCTCGTATTTATACGATGTGTATACACTCTTCTTCTCTTCTCTCTTGCTCGTTCACTCCGTCTCCTCTCTCTTCGTTAGTTATTTACGCGCGCACAACACAATGAGATTACTATTATGATGACGAGCCAGAGAAGCAGCAGCAGCAGCCGTAGCAGCAGTAACACACCCGCGCACTACTACTACCCACTACTACTACTACTACTACTGTTACTATATCTTGCGTTCACAACTCGCTGCTGCTGATGACGACGATATACGCTATGTTAATAATGTAACGTATGTCGCCTGCCTGTCACAAACCGTCGATTATTATTATTATTATTATATTCTGCGTCGTGTAGCACTATTTTTTCATAACATGCGGATCACAACTCGTGATGGCACGCACGCACACAAACATACACTTATACACGAGCACAGGCCACAGACACGGGGGCAGCAGATATGCACAGCAGTAGCCGAGACACCCGCGCGCAGCAGCGCTCACAACCTCCGCAAGACACAACTCTCCGCTGCTGTGTATAGCTGCTATGCTCCGACGAGGGAGCAGAGAGACGACGATGAGATGGGGCGAGAGAAGAACCGACGTGTGTTTGAATTTTCCTTATTTATTATTATTATTATTATCTCGTCTCCTCCGTGTATAATAGCGCACATACACGCATGCACACAACTTGATCCTGTGCACAATCTTCTTACGTCTCGTGATATTACGTGTACTTGAAATATCTGTAAACGCCCCAGTATTATACTCTCTCTCTTTCTCTCTCTCCTGATGCATGTATGTGTGTACGTATGTGTACGTACACGGCACACGCGACACCCTTTCTTGCTCTCTCTTTCTATATTTATATAGGCTATCTATCCTTTTTATCCGAATTCTCTCTCTTCGTATACTTGATTATATTTATCTTTTTGAAAACTGAATCTCGACGCACCACAACTGCGACTACTATACACAACGACGACGACAATCACACGAAATCTGAGCGCAGACGACGACGACTACGACAAGTGGTGCACTACCAGACTACCCGCTGCACAAGCACGTAGCAGTTATATACACTGTGCACATACATATGTCACAATGTGTACATTGGTATGCGTACCTTTATCACAGCTCCGCGAGTAGAACTCGTAATAAGAAAACCTTAAGTAACAACTAGACTTTTTCGGCAAAACTGATTTTAATAACTGACGTTGAAAAAAAAATACTGACAACCAACAGCGCGACCATACGAGCGCCGCGTATATGTGTGCGATACGTGCTTGCGATTTACGTATTTTCCTATATCAACAGCAGCAGTAGCAGGAATAGAGAACCAGAGAGAGAATGAATTAGATAGAGACTAAGAGGGAGAGAAAGAGAGAGTAAGAGATAGACAGGACAGAGAGAACTAAGCAATATACTAAGGTATATGTACGTGTGTAGTAAGAAGACACGAGACTGTGTGAGTGGTGTTATGCAGCGAATATATATAACACACGCACGACGTGTTGGAAAGCGGGAGGAGCTCCGCGGACTCCTGGAGGCGCTCCCACGGCGGACTGAGCGGCGACCGCGCCGCTGCGGAACACGAATCGACTGTAGTGAACACACATACACGTACACACACACACACACACACACATATGCTCGTATGGATGTGCCAAAGTACCAACTCTCTCTTTCTCTCTCTTTCTCTCGGGCTAAATCACCGAGCTTGCGCCCGCGCTCTTGGCTGTACTCGTACAACTCAACCCCTTCCTCGCGACGCAGGCTCACTCATACAGACGCACGGGAACGGGAACGGTCGTTCCGTATACATGCGTTGGTGTATGTGTGTGTGAGTGTATGCCGCCGCCGTCGCGCCGCCACCGACGCTGCTGCCGACTGTGTTGCTTCAAAAAGGGCGAGCGTCGAGAGCGTCGACGTCGACGACGACGACGAGGGCGTTGAGGGAGAAGCGCGCGCAACCCCCGGAACTGCACACAGGCAATGCTGTGTAATGTGTATAGTGCCAGCAGAAGCAGTAGCAGTAGTACAGTCACAGCAGTGGTGGTACATCGTATATGAGTGATTCTGACTAACTTTTAAAATAACGCTTCAGAAAATTTTGATGAAAAATCAAGCTGCACAGTATCAGGAGTGAATTTTTCTTGAAGATTATCAACAAAGGATCTCAAAAATAACTTTGGGCTTTATTTTCTTCCATAGTCCATTGACTAAATACGATTTGAATGTGGGTCAAAATGATAATTTTTTAAATTTTCACCAGCACGTATGACACCGTTCTAGACACACTTTTGATATGTTGTCGTACGTAGTAAAATAATCCCAAAGCCAAAATTTCAGACCCCCCCCCCCCCTTCTATTCCCCTCCTCCCTTAAAAACGTCTATTTTCTATTTATATTTATCCTGAAGCAATTAAAAAATCTGAAAAAATTCATAAAAGTACATTTTAACAAAACAAAAATTCTTTGGATTTTTTCGAGTTGCCTTATGCACCTTTTGAAGCGAAAAAAAACCTAATAGTAAAAATTTTACTAATATTTTAAGTTGGAATGGGAAAAAATTATTTATTCAATAATTTATTTATTCATAATAAAAAAAATGTTTCCATGAAAAAAAAAATTGTTCATATAATATTATTTGTTTATAATAATGGTTTATAAAATTTACTTTATTTATTATTTATTTTTTATTTATTTTGTAAAACAATTTTTTTTTATAATGAAAGTAAAAATTTTGATGAAAAAAATTTTTTTTGTAAAATTTTCAAGTGATTAACGCAGGCTCATCCCAATGTTCAATCAAGCGTAGAATTCTTATTAAATAAGGTATGGGTTCTGGTTGGGCTCATTTTGTTCGTCTTTTCAAGCACTTTTTGAAAATGTTTATAGATATAAAAAAAACAATAGTCCATTGACAAAAATGAAAATATATAGAAAAAAGCCAAAAGTCCAAATAATCGCGTACGCGCTCAAAACCTTCTGAGAAATTTTCAATTTGAGAGGAACAAGTTCGAGACAGCAAATTCTCTAAAGTATGTGAATGAAGGAAGGTAACATGTAAATTTCAGATTATTTGGTTAATATCCCATTTTTTAAGAAGCTAATGAAAATTTATTTCTTTCGCAGTACGTTGAAACCCTTAAACCTCGCTCTACGCGCCCGTGCGGGTCATGTGTGTCCCTTGGCTCTGCAGGTCCGTCCTAGCGCGTAGAGGCTTTTCCAGTGTACATTCCTAGAGGGTGAAAGAAAGGGGAATACAGGGATTCACACTCATTCACACCAAGAAACAAATGCTCAATATTAATAATAACAACTACCAGGTTTATTCTTATGCAATAAACATTATACACGGCCTCAGAGAGTATCCGAATACCCGGTCGAGGCAGACGCGACGATCGTAGCCCTGGTGGGCGCGTCGGCGCGTACGACTCACAAACACAACGACTGAGGACTGGGCCGCCCGACTCACCACACGATATCGAGATCTTCTCCTGGTCCAAATCCACCTTTGGTCGTCCTTGCGATCTGCTCAGCCGTTGGATCCACTGGTTCTCTCCCGCGCACTCGGGTCGACTTGTACCGGCACTCGCACTCTTCACTAGGGCGACGTAGAATCTTACTATCCCGTGCGATACTCGTCAATCCGACGTAGACATCCCCTCTCAACTCGCACACTCGAGCTCTGTTCGCTCTCATAGCAAATCTTCGACTCTCTTCTCTGTTCATATGTACGCTCTCGTATCTCAACGTATACGCATACGTTTACATTCTATCCTTTCACACTTGGCGCTCACATGAAATGAGATTTAAAATACAATAATTAATAACTATTCTTATAACTAATAATATACTCTGCAAGGCGACGATGGTTTGTCAGGGCGGCCCAACACATTATGCCAGTTCCGGCATTACAACGTTTTTCGACTCAAGAGTAAAATCGATTTTCAAACGTGCGGTACAAAAAAGACTTGCCACCAAAACGCTCAATAATAAAAGTATACGTCTCTCAAGTTTTCTTAAAGACCCTGATAAAATTTCAGAACTGTGCATTGTAAATTAGCTGACTTATACATCAGTACGTGCAATTTTAAAAATTAGTCAGAATTACTCATATATGAGGGAAAATTGCGTGGAAGAGGTCCCCAATTCTTCTGGGTCCAGAGAGCGAAAAAACTTTACGATAAGGGTTAACTTTGAACAGGCTTTATTATAGTGCGTTCGACTTTGCGTCTCAACTTGATTTACCGCTCGCCTCTCTTCGGGCGTAGCTCGCAGCGCCAAAAGAGAGGAGAGTGGGAGGCGAGAATCCCCACAGTGGTATGGGCTGAATTGAAAAAAATTTGTATCAAGAGAAGATGCAAATTTTTGTAACAGGTGCTTGACGCTTTTTTGAACAAATAATTAATTGAACAGTAACAAAATTCTTAAGGTTAGATGAAGCAAAACATTATCTTAGTTTTTGGTCTGCTTGAAAGTTTAAGAATAACAAAATAGTTAACTTAGTTTAGTCTTTACGTAACAAAAAATAACTGCCTTAGTTTTTTAAAAGTACAGATTTTCGGCAATGATGAGAACAATTATTTGACTTAAAACTAGGTACAAAATGTAGTCAATTTCTCTTAGCGTTTATGTAAAAAAATATATAGTTTTGACTGCCTTAGAGTTATAAGTGCAGCTTAGTATTTGAATTAAGATTAGTATGACAGCAATAATCACAATTATTGTGTGTGCAAGGCACTGATTTTTTTTTATAATTAGGACGAGCTTTAAGCTTTATTTTTACAAGATTTGTGTGCAATACTATATGTGTGTTCGCTGTGAAATCTTACTTTTTTAATAGTTTTGGCCTTTTTAGGCACTTTAATTCAACTGGGCTGACTAGCAGGAGTATTACAATTATCTGAACTAGTATTAGTAACGGTTTGACTAGCTTGAGTTTGATTAATGTTAGAAGAGAGCTCTTCATTAGGAGAGAGTTTTTCACAGTCATGTAGGTGATTCTGATTGTTAAAATTTCTTGACTAATCACGTCGCTGATTTCAGGGTTCGCTTCCATGTGCTCTATGTCAGTAGAAGTACCGAAGGCCGGCTTTAGCCTTAGCTTGGAAATAGCTTTTTGCTCCTCGACCCCCAGTTTATTGCGCCAACGAATAATGTATAGAAGGCATTAGATGGGCGAGAATCGATTCTGAAGGGTCCAAGATAAGGTTTATCGAGAGGTTTTTTGATTGAATTTAATCTGACGAATACATATGTACAATTAGGCAACTCTTTGTGTACGAAAGGCGTAGTTTCACTGTGATGTAACGTGGTAATCGGTTTAATTTCAGCCATGTGAGCTCTTCAAATTTGAAGATTTTACGATTGTGCTCAGCGTGTTGTGAAGAGAAAAATTCGGCCGGCAGTCGAAGAGTTGTCTCGAAGACGATCTCTGCCGGACTGGCATCGATATCTGAGCGTATGTGTGTGCGTAAGCCTAGCATCACAAAGCGAATAGAGTGAGTCCAGCTATTAGAGTTTTTAAAGCACATGAGTGCTGCTTTAAAATCACGGTGCCATCTCTCGATTAGACCGTTCGATCTAGGATTGTAGGGAGTTGTGTGAATATAATGATCGTTCCAAGCAACATGCAAAGTTGTTTGAAGACATTATAATCGAATTGAGCTCCTTGATCTGAAGTAATGACCGCCGGTGCGCTATATCGTGATACTCAGGTATCAACGAAAGCTCGCGTAAATTATAATTTCGATCAGCCTCGTGGGTCATGTGAGTCTCGCATGATTCAGCAAGTGAGCAGAATATGTGACATTCGACATGCGTAGGCACGCGTTGCACAAAAAAATTATTATGTATTGTTTATAAAATATCAAAATAATATTTAAAATATTATTTTATAATATTAAAAATATTGTATGAAATCATTTGAATATGTGTGAATATTATGTATTTGTTGTAAATTAATTTCTAAGGGAAATTAAACTTAATTAATTTCCCTTAAAAATATTGAGTCATTAATGTCTTGTGCGCACACTATTAACCTGTAAGGTAAACAACACAAGAAAAAAATTAAACAGTCCCGTAAATCTCAAGTGCACTGTTATAATTTTCTTTTGCTGCCGATGTGAAGCTGCGTTGCTTGAAGGGTCACCGTTGTGTAGTGTAGCTTGAAGCGGTCTGCTGCTGCGTTGCACGCACTCGCACCGAGTTGCGTCGAGTTCTGCCGCCTAGGTTTGAGTTGGCAGCATCGGGTCAAATGATAAAACCGTGACGGCAGATGACAGCGGCCGCCATGTTCCGGAAAGTTTTTCACAACGCTGGTTGTCGACTCGTCGTGTGTCGATGTGTTGTGAACGCCGCTGCGCTGCTCTGCGCTGACCTCTGTGCGCCGCGCTGCGAAGCTCGTTGCCTCGTAGCGCACAAATGAAGGGGGAGGCAACGCGCTGGAAGGGACGACCGTCTCCTTCCTGCTCCGATGCGTAGCAAAGATGGCCGCCGCTATCACGCCGTCTCGGCGCCAAAAAATGGCGATGACGCAACAAGTAGCCGCACGTGGCCGTGTGCCGGGCTGATGCTATCGCTGCGATGAGGAGAGCCGCACGTGGCTGTTGCCGACACGCCAAAGTTGTAGTGGAGC